ATCGCTCGTTGCGCATGGGATTGTAAAGTGAGTCAAGTTGATAGTGATTCTACACGACACACATTGTGGAGTTATTTACGCATCTTTCGCTGTCAGAAGACTGTTTCAAAAACTTCGGCTGTCAAGGCAAAGAGTCGTAGCTCTGCAATCGCATTTAGCGGGCAAAATCTGTGAGAAAATAAGCGTTTATAATCGCGCACAAAAATGGTAGTTACGCAGTTGGTTAACCATTACTTTAATGATGATTCAATTTTATCAGTCTTTTTATGCCCAAGCATACTTTCCAGATATATACGATGGTTTGAAGACATCAGCTTGAAAGGTCCGGTTTTCATCTGTTCGACGGTGTCTGCAGTCACGAGCAAAGGAGTGACAGATTTTATGCAGCAGTACAAACTAGGTAGTAATGGTCCACCAATGGCTTTCGAAGTTCCACTGATTGAAACTTTCAGGTAATCTACCCGACCGTGAATTGGATTTTTCGTCTGGCAGTATACTGGGTCGAGCGTATGTTAATGAATGTCTCACTTATAAAGATTTTGTCACCGAGGTACGCTCATTTTGATTTCAACATTACATACACACCTCTCCTTTTCAGTACAATGTTCCTGTGTGTGGAGATGGTGACTTCGTTTTGATATTCTCAACCTATGAATCACTTACTATTCCTGTGCCGTATATTCCGTCTGCACCTTTCTTCCAGCTGGAAAAGGAAATACTCCACGTTTTGGGAAATGTGTTTGGATCGTAATGTTAAATTGTAGCAATAATATCTTGAGATTATCTCAAAGGAACGAAACGGCTTCCTGCAAGCTGGTGTTTGAAAGACTTTATGCCTGTAAATATTGCCCCTGGTATTGTGCAAGCTTTTTAACCTTGCTCGACATACGGTGATCTGCTTTCCATCTATTTTCCCGCTCTGAGTAATAATGAAGCAGCATTGGCTAAGATGTAAATCTAGTAATGATTTTATTTTATAAAGGGCACCTTTATTGTGATTAGGTGTGCTCAGGACCTGTCTGTGATATG